GCTCCGACTACCGTCACGTAGCAGATTCATCATCAGCTTGAGGTTGTCTGCACTGCTAATGTAGCGTGTCATCACGTTAAAGTTGGCGCGATCAAGCAGAATTTCTCCAAGCAACTTGATCGACTGGCGCTTGGTAACGTAGTTTTCCGAATTAAGCAGCACCGTGTAGCACTCAAAAAACTGCTCCATGCCATGGTAGCGCCGGTTAGGACGGCCTGCCATCCACTGCGTGATACCAGTCACTTGCCTTTTCGTAGTTTTCCTGCAAGAAACCAGATACCAGCGTTTTGTGTCGCGTAAGCAGCTCCTGTTGGGAGCATTGTGTGAGCAGAGTACTTTGGCTGCGAGGCAACGATAGACTTGGCGTTCGTTATGCTTACGCGGAAGGTTGCAAACGCATCGCTTGCCACGTCAAAGGATCCGACTTCGACATAGTCGAAATATTTGTAGAAGCCCGGCGCCAAGAGAAGGATGCGTGCCAGCGGCTCGTGGCGCGCACACTCGCGCAGAATCATACCGCAGTTGAGTGCAACCTCTTGGTTCTCGTAGCTACTCCGTGCCCGTGCGCATGAGTATACCATACCGCCGATTCCGCCAAGCGTGCCCACTTACCCCAACTGTAGCGTAAACAGGATATCCTCATTTTTTGCTAGATAGTCGACCGTCGGATAGCGAGATCCGATCTGTCGCCGCAGCAGATTGTTGAAAATCTGCGCCACGTCCTTCTTTGCCTGGTATACACGCGAGTACACAGTGAGCATGACGTGAACTACGCATGGACCACGTTCACGCCCACCTCAAACTCGAGCAGAGCCATGTGCTTGACCAGCAGCAGAAGTAGGTCGTTGTTGTATACCTCTTGCGAGAGCTGTGCAACCAGCTCAGGCGACGGATCAGTATCTATACGCCAGGGTCAGCACGTCTGTCGGCTTATCGATATCGATCGCCCATGCGCACCGTCGTCGCCGTACAGAATCATCTTCATTGCCACCAGGCATTTTGAGATATCTTCGGCCGCCTAGATATGGTGATGCAGATACGTTAGCACGTCTCCACCTCGTGCAGGGCTTTTTCCGCCCTCGCACGGGCCTGGCTGTCCAGCCGCGGCAACCTCACTACGCCCACCTTTCGGTCTGGAGAACCGAGCCGCGCAACGGAATCTCGCACAATTTTCACCAGCTCATGCGGCGATTTGCTTCTGTTTCTAAAAAAGATGTTCATAGCAACGTCTGGCTGGTGATGTTGGTATCGCGGTGATAGCAGGTGGCAGCAAAGAGTGCGCACGACAGAGAGCGGCGGCAGACTAGATGTGCAACTGCACGCAAACAAGCGGCGACTCGGCGGCAGCGGTCAGATGATGACGGACGCAACCAAGGCAAGTGCGGATGAAGCGGAAGCGGCAACAGGCAGAAGGAGAGCGGGGTCTGGAGGTGCAAGCAGGAGGCAGCGCGTCGGGGCAGAGACGAAAACTAGACGGCTGCTGGCCGGTGGACGTCAAGTGAGCAGGCTGTGCAGGCGGGGGGCTGCTCACATGGCCTGTCGCTTTGCTCACAGTGTCGTCATGCGCCTTACTTGCCGCTCTTAGCGACTATCACTGCCTTCGCCCAGGTCACAAGGTGCACAGCCTCTTTTGCCTGTTCTCCTGCTTGCTCCCTTTCCGGCGGACAGGCCGAGTTGGGCAGACTCAGCTGGCTTGGCTCGAGGCGTTTGGCGTTGGAACTGCTGTGGCGTGCGCGTCACCCTGCCGTTCTGGCCACCTCATCTGCTACCGTCAACCCACCATGAATCTGGAAGAGAAGATTGCACGCGGCGCTGAGCTCAAGGACGAAGGCAACGCTCTGTTCAAAGCCCGCGACCGCAAGGCCGGTAAGTGGCGCGGGTCGTGCGGACGATTGGCTCCGCACTGACGTGGCAGCGGCGCTTGCGCTCGACCAGCTCTGCGCAAGTATCACGAGGTAGCGCCACCACTGTATGCCGCACAGTCGGGCGCTTGTACTGATGTTGCGCGCGTGTATGCAGTCTCTCCTGTATCTTCATGGACAAAGTACGCAGGACGTGACGGTGCCGCTTCGACAGAAAGATGCAGTCGTGTCGGATGACCAGAAACAGCAGATTGACGCTCTGCTGGTCAGCATATATGCCAACATGGCAGGTAAGTCTATTTGACATGGCCAACGAATGATCGCCTAACGCGGCGCTTCCACCACGTAGCCTGCCACATCGGCGACCAAAAGTGGGAGCAGGTGATCCGGTACAGCGGCAAGGTAAGATGAGCGACAGGGCCGAGCCAGCGTCTAGACGCTGAATGACTGCCGTGCACGATAGGCGCTCGACAAAGATCCAGACCACTTCAAGGCTCGCCTGCGCCGCGCCAACGCCTATCTGTCGACAGGCAACACGGATCGTGCGGAGCGTGATTTGGAGGCATTGGCCACAAGCCACCCAGACGGCAAGTGCCACAAGCGGTGCCAGTTGATGCGCAGCCCTTCATGCTAACGTTGCAGCCGTTTTGGGCCACACTAGACGTGGAGGTGCGCCGCTTGCAGCAGCACCTGCGCAAACTCATCGACGCCGCCAACGACAAACAGCGTCGGGAATTTGCCGGCATGTTTGACCGAAAGCAGTAGCGGGCGTTTGTGCCGACACGACGGCCAATCGGCCGACGACCTTGCCTGCTCGTCAAATGGTCGTTATGGTGTAGTAAAGATGCCTGGGCCTGTGTCAGTATTCGTATTCGTGTGTGCCGTGTGTCCATCTGTATTTTGACTGGTTTTCGCCCGTTGCCCACCGCTCCTTCTCTTTTACGTTTCCCTATCGCCTTGCCCGCCTATACGCCGCTCTCACACACCGCAACCATAACTCTCCGCTCTCGTCGGCCACGAGGTGTCCCAGCCGCAATCTACACTGGCCCGCATGTCGGCGCCATGGCCGTCGTGGGCCGCAAACACTAGCGACATGGACCCCGCTAGTTGGGCGCCCCGCGAGTTGGTGGGCACGCCGAGTACCGAGCCGACACTTTGCTCCGAGTCCGTCGGTCAGCTAAGCGCCACCGCGGCTGGGAAGCGAGCGCGCGACGCCGACGACTTTGGCCGAGAATTGGAAATGATGGAAGTGTGCGATCGCTACGTGGATTTGACGGTCGGTCAGCCCGTGCGCAAACAGCGCAACACCAAGCGCCTACGCCTCGCGTCGTTCTCCGGCCTTTCCAGCGATGCCGGATCGGAGCTAGGGTAAGTTAAGCCATGCGATCATCCATCGACTCTGCTGGCACGCCTCGGCTCACTCTCCTGCATGCTCGACACGGCAGCTTTCCCATGTCAGCCGCCTCTTCCGCGCCGCTTACGCCCGTGGACTGGCCGGCGCCGTCGCATGTGTCCATTGCGACTGGCCTCGTGTACACGCCGTCGATGCCGCGTACGCCAGACGGCGACGATCTAGATGACAGCGGCAATTTTGCCCAAGATCACAACGTCCGTGTAGACGGTGATCGCCGTGCGCTTGCAGGCCAAAGCGTCCAGTATGCTCAGTGGCAAGACGGCAGGGCCGCCAACCCTGCTGTCAGCGAGCACCACTGGGACCAGCGCCAGCTGGAGCTGGAACTTGACGGAGCTGCGCTCACTGCATGGCATGTGTATTCGACACCAAACCGCATTCTAAACGACGCCTATCACGTTCGACACCTCCGTACGAGTCATGCAGCCGCTTCTGTCGCGAGCGGATCGTCGATGCAGTCCCCGATGGCTGCAAGTGCGTGGACGGCCCGGGAAACAGGCCGCGATCATCGACGCACGCTTTCACCAGACTCGCACTACTCGGTGATGAACGCGCTGCTTGCGCAGCTTCATCAATCGCGCGTTGGCAACCACGCTCCAAACTGGTCGACACACTAACATTACTGGCTGCTTGCATGCTTTGTCGCGCGCATTTTGTGTACTACTCGTATGGCCACTCTGTTGCGCCCACTCCTTCCTCCTTATCTCTGCGTTTCTACGCGCCTGCCATTAAGTAAACAGCGTGTTGACAACGCACGTATACATGTGTGTATTTGCAACAGTAACACCAGCAGTGGCAAAGTGGCTATGCCTTGTCGCCCGCCAACTCAGCCTCTTCCTTGTCCAGGTCTTCCCAGAGCTTTTTCGTCTGGCGTCTGCGCTCCCGAGCCGCCTGTGTATTCGCGGTGCGATTCCGCATAAACTAATGGAGGTTGCCGCTTAGTAGACAGTCCTCTTCACCATGGATACACTCGACTCACCTCTTGGCCCAAACAATCATTCAGCGAATCCTTAAGCTTATGGCACTGGTTGGTGAGCTTGGGCCAGAGACCACCAGCATGACACTCCTCTAGCTGGCGGATAAGGTGTGCGCAGTCGACGTTCTTGTGTTCGTATACTTGCGGATGCATGGCGGCGACTGTAATCGGGTAGCAGAAAGAAAAGTGGTGCGCGTCGCCGGAACATGGCGGGCATTTCGGCATTTATCGGACGCTGTGCACTCCGCATCACGTAGTTCAGATCCACGGTCATGGGTCTGCTGTCTTCAAAAGTATCTCACCCGTATTCGCCGCCATGTATTGCCCTGGCCTATCGATCTTGTTGCAAACAAATATTCGCCAATGTCTATTCAACACTGGAAATGTGCGCTTCAACGGATCGGCCATCATCCAACACTTTGCGTTATACCACAAGTAGTTAGAGTTTGAATGTATTGGGCTGAGCATATGCAGAAAAGTGACCATGATTCCGCTGCACAATTCAGAGGTTGAGCGGCATGTTTATTCGACTATTGATGTATATAAGCTGGCATTTATTAGGTGTCTATGAACGCACAAGCACCTTACAGCTTGCTTGCCCGTGCTCTTGTTGATGTAGGAAAGCGGTTATTGAAGAGTCGAGAATACTTTCTGCTGACGGTACTAACCAATATTTTTTAAAAATAAAAAAAAGTTACGTCCCTAAATCTGCGCCGTGTCTCGAATCTTTTTGTCGAGCCATTGTCAGCAGGTTTCCGTGGTGTAGTCGGTTATCACGTCTGTCTAACACACAGACGGTCCTCGGTTCGAATCCGAGCGGAAACATTTTTGCGTAGCGCGACTGCACTTTTGTGTCGCGTTCTTTGTTTTTCTCTTCCGCCGCCATCATGAGCGCACCTGGCCGCTATTCTTTTAAGCGCTCACAGTCGGCGGACGTGCGCTCAGCTCTGCTAGGAGGCTTGCGTGGTCGCGGCGGTCTAGAGACTAAGGTGGCTGGTATTGATGCCGCGCGTATATGGCCGACAAAGCTGACGAACGCAAGCAAGCCGGACAACGCGTCCAGTTTGGAGTCGGTGCAGGAAATTCAGGGCGCACTCGTGTTCAGGTGCGGCTCTTGCAAGGCCATCGTTGGTGACTCTTACGCGTGGTATGCGGCGGACAAGACACTCAACATTGTCGTCTTGTCGGGTGAGGCATAGCACCGGTCCGTTGATGCTGTGGACCGATCGTGTGCTCACGCTAACGGTGCTATACAGAGGAGCATGAGGATATCGCTGTTGGCGATGTTTTGGAAACATCGATGCAGGAGCATGATCGCGGCAGGTGGGCAGTGTCGACGCATCGCTAGCCATCCGTTTGCCGGCATGCTCTAACGACAGCTGCACCTCAGTACCTATTGGAAGATTGAGTGCAGGCAGTGTGGTCGGCTGATCGGACGAAAGTATCTTACAACGCCGCGTGAGCTTGATCACTTGCGGTATGTGTGCGGCAATGCTGTCGCCACAGTATTTACAGCAAAGCATGTGCTGGCGTCGACTAACGCAGATGCAACGTAGCGAAAAGTATTCCTACTCGGTTTCCGAGATTGAATAGTGAGCAAAGAAGCGGTGTACACTTATCATCTGTCTAGCGACTAATGAAGGCCCAATATCGCTGCGTGCTCCAGCTATGAACTCGGACAGCACTCGCGTGCGCCCGCGAATCAGCCTCGCGCCATGACAATGGAGGAAATGCGTGTGCTCATTACAAAGGTGAGCAACCGTCCAAGGACTGCTATTGTAATAATATGCTTACACGGGCAGCAGATGAGTAGCGTCATCATTCATTTAGAGGAGCGTGTCACAACACTGGAAACGCGTGCTGCAGCGCCCAACGATCCGCGCGGTGGTGGCGGCCATGGACGCTAACACGCTAGTGCGTACATGTATGAACTGTAACGAGTGGATGCGGTGCATTTAACAAGGACATGTGGGTGTGTATGTGCGCGCATCCATCCGCAGCATGTCATCATATAAAAAGAGCCGGGCACCATGTCTAGCTATCTGCCTGTGGTGCTGTCGCTCAGTTGCTGGCATAGAGCTGGGTCCATTCGCGGGCTAGTCAAGACGGAAGAAAACAACGCGTTAGCATCGAGACACAACAGCACACGCAGACCATGGTGCAAGCGTGCCTTTTGCAATCGCGCCCTGTTCATCCTCCTTCCAGTTTTGTGCCACATCGTTGGCCAGCGGATCATCCGGGTTGGGGGCAGAAAGGAGTGCCTGAATCGACAGGAGCACCGTGCGGATTTGAAGCGCAGGCGACCACTTGTCTACAGTTGATAGAGGTTAGGCTGCAGGCCACGCTAATATCCGCACGCGCCCCATGGCACCTTTCAAGATGTCCAGGCAGATGCGACCCAGCTTGTCAATGTTGGGATGGTAGATCTTTGTCAAAAAGCGAACTTTGGGCGGTGCCATTGGATACTCATCGGGCAGGAATAGCTCCAGCTTGAATGCTCCGCCTAGCCAGGTGATAGGGTCAGCGCATGCCACGCGTTCGTTTATGGTCCGTGCATCGCCTACCCTCGAACGGCGATTGCACCGGTCCCGTAATGGTGACGTCAAAGTAGCGGATGTTCTCCTCGTGCGATTTGGCCTCGATGCCGGGCACCGGCTCGCTTACCAGGCGGCCAATTTCCTAGTAGTAGTCGTTGGTCTGCGTTAGTGTCGGCGACAGCAACGGCGACTCCAAAGCCGGCTCCTACCTTGGTGATGCGCTTGGGGATGGCCATGTTTACGATGAGGAAGGGTAGGAACAGGAGGACGATGGCAGCAGGTGCAAGTGGAGAGAAGACGAGCGTTGGCAAAGGGTGTTGACTCGGTGTGTGTGTGTGTGTGTGTGTGCGTGCGTGCGTGCGTGCGTGTGCGTGTGTGAGATTATCCACCAGTTCTTGTGCGTGCAGAAAGAAAAAGCACTTCCTTCTGCAAGCGCAACTTTCGGCTCACTCAACTTTTACGCAATGGAATCGGAAGGCAGCACGATGCAACAGGCTGGCGCAGAGGCAATGCCACCTTCCAAGCGCACAAAGGTTGACGAGACACCGGAAGCAGGGCCAGGCATGTCGGGACTTGCGCGTGAGGTGGCCGCTGGTATTATTGCGTACATTCGCGAGGATGCGCCAGGATTCTCGGCCATTATCAAGCATCGGTAGGCATTGCGTGAGAAGGCAGGCGAAGCGCGATTGGTTGCTAAGCGTATTATCACACGATTGGAACGCGTAGAGGCCATGATTTCTTGGTTAACGAGATCGATCAGAGCGGCAATGTTGTACGCCTCACGACGCTGGAGCCGCCCCAGATGACGACTGATTCTGAGGCTGCGCAAAAGGCAGGGGATGAGGCGGTAGGTGGTGAACCTAACTGGCTGCATTGCTAGTCAGATCTGATTGTGCTGGGCGTATCAACACAGCCTGTAGATATCTATGCAGAGCTGGCCCAGCTGACGAATGCGACTGTGGCCGAGAATGTGCGCAGTATGGTGGAAAGCGAGGGCAGGGAGCCCACCCAAGTGATGACCGAGGTGAGATATCAGCAAACTGGTATGGCGTGTCTATGAACGCTGACTAGAATGATGCAACTGTCTAGGAAATTGACGACAAGACAGATCGCGTAAAGGTGCATCAGTTTATTCGTAAGCATCTTGGACAAGATGTCACAACGGACACAGAGGGCAAAGCTATCCGCATGCGCTCATTGTGTAATGTCAAGGCCAAGGATATTCGGGGCGGAATTCGCGGACGGAATCGTGGTGATAAGCTACCTGTATCTTGGGGCGACATGCCTGGACAATTCTGCCAGTTTGTGCTCTACAAGGAAGGCAAGGACACTATGGACGCAATAGACTACATTTGCCGTACAACGCGGTGCGTGCAACGGCAGAATCTAAGCGGCCAGGTGATGTTGACTAATGGATGAGCATGAGGGAATAGGCTGAACTCCAGGGTCTTTGCTTATGCTGGTACCAAGGATCGCCAGGCTGTTACTGTTCAGCATGTGACGGCGCAGCGCGTCATTGCGGAGCGTCTGACGAGTATAAACCGTCCTAGCGCACCTATTCGCGTTGGCAATTTCACGTAAGCTACTTGGATGGCGGTGAGATACAGTTGAAGGACTCTGCTAACGGACTATTGCTGTAGCTATGTCAAGGATCGACTGCGGCTCGGTGATCTGACAGGCAACCGCTTTGTGATTGTACTTCGGTGAGCAAAGCGGTGACATAGTATTCTTATTGGCACGCAGTACTTACATGGGTGGGCGCGGTTCATCAGCGATGTCAAGGGCTGCCCTGAAAGCGAGGTGGTGGCGTCGCTCGAGTCACTTCGCGAGCATGGCTTCATCAACTATTATGGTACGCGCCGGAGACATACAGTCTATCTTGGAGTCTCCTGCTAACGCTTGTGTGCAATCGGCAGGAACACAGCGGTTTGGCACCGGTATTGTGTCTACCCAGGAGGTTGGCGCGAAAATGTTGAAGTCTGACTGGAGCGGGGCAGTGGATTTGCTGCTGATGCCTGGCGAGCCTGCAGGCCAGGGTAAGCGTGCATGCGGTCGGCTATCTCTATGCCAATAGCACCAACATATTTGCTGTTGTCGCACTCCAGAGGCTTCACGCCATGCGCGTGCACGTCAGCACTGGGCAGAACATCGCAACCCAGCGGCCGCCGTCAAGATGTTCCCCCATGGCTGTGTCGCCGAACGTGCGATGCTGAACTTTTTTGGACGAAAGGACAGCACCAACGACAAGTATGGTGCAATTATGGCGGTATGTCGGCGTACATTCATTCTTGCTTGGCGACTTGTGGCTGACGTGAATGGCGTAGATTCCGTCTAACATGCGCAAACTGTACGTGCACGGTTATCAATCGTACATATGGAATCGGGCGGCAACTGAGCGCATTCGGCGCCACGGACTCGACCCGGTGCCGGGTGATTTGGTGGCAGTGCGCTCCCAGCCGGATGAAGACGCGTCGCCCAGTGACGAAAGTGGTGATCGCATCCGCAAAGTGGAACTGGTAACAGCAGAGAATGTGCAGCAGTATCAATCCAAAGACATTGTACTTCCACTGCCGGGCTACGATGTGCGCTACCCAGAAAACGACATTGGCGACTTCATTGCAGAGCTGATGCACAAGGATGGCCTGGATCCCAAGAAAATGAAGAAAAACGATGAGTAGGTGGACAGTGTGAAAGCAAATTGCAGCAAGCATAGACGCTTATTGTTTGCGCTGCTGGCTCTAGCTTCATCTCCTTGCCTGGTGGCTATCGCACACTGTTTTCTATGCCGCAGGATTTGAAATGGTGAGCGCTGCAATGCTATCGTATGCTCACCCACCCACACTGTTTCTCTAACGCATGGACACAGGGAGCTGCTGCGCTATGACGACCCAGCTGCGCCACTTGCCCTGACCGACCTCGACCGGCTGGAGGAGAAAGAGGAAATCCACAGCAATCAGGGTGCTCATCTTGCTATCCGTCTGGAGATGACGCTTGCGGCAGGACAGTACGCCACCATGGCGTTGCGCGAGCTCATGCATCAGGACACGTCGCCCGCCTTTCAGATTACGCTTAGTCGGGAACACCAGCCCCCGGTGAATTCGCAGAAGAACAGTCACAGCGAAGACGCGCTTGCTTCCGCCGACAATTAGTTGCGTTGCATCTTGTTTAAGCATTTTATTTTGCAAAGACAAAAGGCATGTTTGCATTGTTGAAATGGTATCGCAGTCATCTGCAACCATGTATTGCTAGGCTGGGGGGACACAGGTTGACTGAAGGGGGCCTACTGCC